ACAGGGGTTGAACTGGTGTCTGTGACAGGTTTTCCAGCCAGCTAAAGCTGATCTCTTGATTCTGAACAACACAGAAAAAATCACAAGGTTCTAAGATAATTTTTATAAAGTGGCCACTTTATCGGTCGTTCCGGATTATCCTTTAGGTCAGTAGAGTTTCCCTGAGGGCATATTTGGTTTCTTTACACCATGTATACTTTGTACTATCAATTTCCAGTAATATACGTTAAATAAAGTGTAAAATTATGTCGATAGATAGTGGCATTTCATACTTCACCGGAAACTCGGGTTGATCCCGGCCCTCTATCTCGGTACACAAAAATCTCCGGCCAATTAGACCACCATCAATCGATTCAGTAGAGTTTTTCCTTTGAGAATATGTACAACATGTTGACTGAAACCGTTTGGCAGCCGAGATATTCAATTTAGTCGCGGTTTTGTCAATTTTTGCCCACTGTGCAATGCATTGCAATCGAACTCATTAAGACCTAATGTCGAAAATCGTTTCAGGGAACCGAAATGTCGTCAATCCAAGGATATTGCAGGCAAGTATCGTAATTGTTGAATATCGGGAATTGAAAACTATTCGACGGAGTAGAGTGTGATATCCCCAGGATCATCGGTATTAAATGCCTGGCAAAACACTTCGCGTTATTCATTTAGATTATCAAAACACACCATCTTTATTCCACCCTCGTCGTCTCCGACCCTTTCCCCAACTCTCTCCCACTGTTATGCACGCTCAACCAGAATACCACATAGAGCATGTCTTATACAAAGACACTTCCCATAGAGGTAACTCTAAAGGGCCACCCACATTAGATCCGGATCTGACGCGTTGTGGCAAAGTGACAGCAAAATGTATTGTCTAACTGTCAAACTTACGTCAACGCAACGCAAACGGGTCTAATGTGGATGACCCCTAAGACCAGAAGGTCCCGAAGAAACGTGCTCAATTTTTTGGCTCAGCTCTGGTACTCTCTTCGGTCCCAAGCTAATCGATGCACCCATCGAAACGTTTTATCTGTCAAACTTTCATAGCGAACCAAAACAAACATAGTGTAGTACTACAATTTCGACTAGAATGGGGTACGGTTATAGACTAGGGGCATCCCACTCTAAACTTCATACCTAATATCAGTAAAATATTTGTAAATCCCGTGTAAGTATTTTTAAGTATTTTTAAGTATTTTAAACCATGGCTATAAATTTCCATCGAAGTAACACTTATTTTTTGATGACCGGTTGCTAGTGCATGTGTTTGTTGTTGTCGGTCGACTTGTATTTATACAAATAGGAGTGTTAAGTATTTTTATTATGTGTTTAAATTAGTATTATTTAATTTATATTTTTCAGCGATTCAGCTTGTAAATATGCTTCAAGAGCTGGTTACAAAGAATGATATTTTCAGTACAAGTTGAACGGTGTTTACCGATCGACTGAACTCAAAGTGTGTATTGGCTCACATATACCCTCTCGGTGCACAAAGATCCTGCGATGATGAATATTGGTATATTCAGATATGAGCGTGCATTAGCTGACCCGAGCAAAAATTTGCGATGGCATGAGAGAGACAACTAGTACTTTTCTCTTTCTCTCTCTCCCTCTCGTACCGTGGACCTACCTAGCAGCGAATCATCTGACTACGATTTTGTTTTTGCAATATCGAGGAACTGTTGCCGTGAAAACGTGCAGGCCTGAGCAAATGCAGGATGAAAAGTTTGTCGATCTACCGGGTGTTGAATGGGAATGGCCGTTTTGACTCTCCTTTTGAATAAACTACTAAAATGTTTATTTTGAAAAATTAATGCAATTATTATATCACATTGAACCAGGTGAGGCATAGTGAGCATCCCACACTTTGGCTCTGGATCTCCAGCTGCATGAAACAAATCAACTGGTAGTAGGTTCAATATCACTATGATATTGATCCTACCACTAACCAATTTGTTCCGAACGGCCGGAAGTTCAAGCTGGTGCACGGGATGCTCACTATGCCCCTCTTACCCCAATCTACTGTAATAAACATGTTCTGCGTTTAGAAGGTGGAAAGCTAAGAGATTTGCATTTCCGCAATACGCCCATATTCTCGTTTAACATACTGTCCGGACTTAAACGAGAATATAGGTGATAGTATGGTCATATGGTTTCGTACATCCAATTATTTTCTTATCAGGCATTGTCATAGTCACACAGCCAAGAACCGAGCGGAAAAAAAGAACAACACAAAATTCACTATTAGATTGGTTATACAAATTATGGAACTCGAACGAGTAACAACAAAGGTTCCAATGTCTATCAGAATTAATTCTTTCTGGTACATGGTGAACAGATTACACCGAAAATGGTTCGGAACACCTAAAGCTGTTCACGCTCTTAATCAAATGAATGTTAATTGTTTAACAAATTAACCAATATCCACACAAAACGCCTGACATTGGATAACAAGCAAATTAAATTGACATAGCAACCAAGCAAATAAACTAACGCTAGATATTTCTTAAGTATTCTTAAGTATTTTTGGGTATCTTAGATATCACTAAGATCTTTATATGTATATTAGGAAAAATACAAAGTTTAGAGTGGGATGCCCCTAGGTTATAGATGTACTTGGGACCAGTAGGCTAGTTAAGTAGTGAGTCAATTTAAAATCATTAGTTTCCAGCGGTTGCACTTCCCCTGACGAATTATCTGACTAAAGATTGTACTCGAAAAAAAAATGCAACACTTTCTTTTGTGCATCATAACTTTTTATTACATGGGTAAAAATTGATGAAATTTTGAGTAAAACTAGTTTGGAGTTCGTCCAGCAGACAATGTTTTCAAGGTAAGGAAGGTGCCTAGCCGAACCGATAAACAAAATACGGTGGCCAAATCCCACGGCAGGAAGCTGTACCGCTGTACCGCGAGTGGTTAGTGCAGCCGAAATGCATCGTAATGGACGACGGGACGTACATCAAAGCGGACGCCAAGCAGATCCCCGGCCTGGAGTTTTTCGTCGGCAAGTCCCGCCAGGATGTTCCGGAAGAAGAAGGTTGACACATTTGCCAAAAAGTACATACTGAGACAGGCGATCTGTGGGTGCGGCAAATTCAGCAAGCCGTAAATAACGACCAGCACCATCAACGGCCAAATATATAAGGAAGAATGCCTCCAGAAGCGCCTGCTGTCCTTCCTCCGGTTCCAAATCTGGCAAACTCGCCAGAGCTTCACCCAATAGAAAAAAAAGTGTGGCGGTTATGAAAGGCAAGCTCCGGAAAACAGGGAAGGTCTTCAAGAAAGAGTGAATGAAAGTGTGTAAGAAAGATGGTGCAAGTGTTGCACAGGATTTGATGGGTAGCGTTAAGTTCAAGGTGCGAGAATTAAGCCTAGGAGAGGAGGTTCAATAAAACAACCTTGCAAAAACAGTGTGTTTATTAAGCTAATGTGTGTTTATTTATTCCCGGAGAGTTTCAAAAATATCCGACTTAAAATGAATTTTTGGTGATCATTTTTGTCTGTTGCATTTTTTTGGAGTACAGTCTTTATCAACAACATCCCTATCGGCGCCACCCCATCACCACCACTCGTTATCCAGACCATTCAATATGAAATACTGCCACCAATAAAACCATCATCATCCGCTGTCATTGCGAATATCTCTGAGGAAAATATCCAGACTGTTCATTATGTGGCGTGCGAACCTGTTCACAAGCTGTTGGCTGTCAAACGGCAGTGTGAAGGTTTGTTTTTGTAACCTGACTCGGGTTGAGGTTCGCACTGACAATAAGCTCGGATGTGCACGGGTTGGAACTGGTTCCAACCTGGATAATAAACAAATTCGCTATTTGTCGTATGAATAGCTTTGAAGAAAAAACGGGGCAACATGATTTAAATAAAAAAAAAATCCGAAAAACTTCTATGCCAGGACGGTAAGGACACGACACCCCCTAACTGTTTACGTAGTATACGGACAGCCCCTGAACATGACAATAGGTGTTTATGTTAATATGTAGTCTACGATTTGATTGATTGACGAATAAATAAATAAATTAAAAATCGGCAAAATTAGTCCCCAGAGTTTTGGTCTAAAATAAGTAGGCCCACCAATTTTGGTTCAAATCCTAGAGGGTCGATGTATTTGCTCGGTCACTTGAGATGGAATGTCCAATATATGAAAAAAACCATTCTTATTTTTGGAAATGGATACGTATTTACTAAAAATGTAGATTTTAACCGGAATCCAAAAACTAAATTCCTATCTCACAAATATAGCAATTTTTAAATATCCTCCGGAAATCTGGAATATCTCCGGTATCCGGTGACCATTGCTATTTCCGTGCTTATACCATAAACCTATATTAGTTTTCCAGTCGAATACTTCTGGAAGAATTAAAATCGGACAAGTTGGCCAACAATTTGCTTTTCCTAGTAATTTTGTCTATCCCCTGTGCCTCTCTCAACGGATGGTTCATATTAATTAACAACGTAACTCCCACGAAGCGCATGTCCTTAATTCAACCAAACTGCGCCATCTGTGTCCCACTGCATCGAGGCGCGTGACTGAAAACTGAACGAACATGTCATGATGGAATCGTTCGTCACGGACTCGAAACGACAAGAAAGGAAAACTTGGCGTCGCATCAGACAAAACACACTCACCACCACCCCATAATTTCCCAAATGTGTACACGCATTTCCCACCCCCTACAAAGTGTATGCATCGAGGACTACACTCTCACACCTTCACCGCGCGCACAAGGACGGGTCGGATGGACGGAACACGCAGGACGACGAGGCGACGACGAGCATTGTCCTCCTTGCCAGCCGAGCACGCTCTCACTCACACTCACACCGAAGGTGGTTTGCGAATCGTTTTTCCGCACTTGAGCCACAGAGCCAGACCCACCTAGCTACATACCTACATGTAGTTTCTGCTGCAGTTTTCATCAAGCTTTTTCACCCTTCTCTATTCTCTGTCTGTCTGTCTGCTGGTCCGAGGATGGTGTGGAAAATGTCAATCAAATTTTAAGTTTTTCTCGTTCATTGGTCGCGGATTTTGTCGTGTGTTTGATTTTGGATTTATCTCCTGGTGTTTCCCAACAAAAAACAATCTTTGAAAGCAAGCAGAACCTAGTGAATCCCACGAGACACAGAAGTGATGATCTAAGGACGTGGATGAGGCCAATAGTTTCAGTGTTTCTTGTTTCCTCGAGTGTGTCCTGTTGAATCATTTTTTTTGTTCCTTTGAGACGGTGGCTTGGTGTGGTTAAATTAGTGAATGTGAAGATGAATTTTTCCGCTTTCGGAGGCCCGTTTTCCGGGATTCATCAGTTTGCGGCCAAATTCGGAAGCAATGATGGAGCATTTACCAGTACGAACACGACTGCAGCGACTGGAAATGGCGCCGGACCAGGTGGCATCGGGATCGGAGGTGGCGGAGGTGGCGGTGGAACTGCGACGCCTGGTGTCCCCGTGAGCGCAGGTGGTGCCAACATTGGTGGCCAGCAGGATCTGAATCGATACCATGGATCGACGAATGGGAACCATTTCAATCAGAATTCTACCTCAAGTAAGTGGGAACATTTAGACGGATGATTTAATTATAAGCGTGGGTGTGTGGGGTGATGATGTGTTGCATACATTCGGGGGTATTTTTTTCCTGGAAATGCTGTGTAGTCGTGTCGTGTGTCTGGTGCTGCTTTTGCTCGCTTCCTTTTTTGTGGGTGGGATGGGTGGGTGATAGCAAAAGTCACAAAGTGGGGTGAGTGCACTTTGTTGTGAGGGGTGATTCATTTGTGTTTTTCGATGATGTATAGCAAAGGATGAATGATTTACCAATATATTGGATGGGAACTCTCGTCTGCTGAGAGTTCACATTCGAAAATATTAATCTATTTTTATTTGAAAAGTTCGAACTGATTCGTGATTAGGGTGTTATGCTTTTGTAAACAAACGGATAATCCTAGAATTGTAGCGGATAAAAGCTCAATCTAGCAAACAAACTATATCATTCCTCTACTTCATTGTGTTTTTAGTTTCCGAGATGGAGCTTTTATTCGCAAGAAATCAGCGATTGACGTGTTTGTTTACAAAAGCATGTACACCCTAATCACGAATCAATCCAACATTATCGAAACATCGAACGGAAACTATTGCTTCACTTCTTCCAGACCACTACTTTATTTTTACGGATAGTCTCAGTTCTGTCGAGGCTATCCGTTCCATTAGGCCGGTAAAGCACTTCTCGTATTTTCTCTTGAAAATACGAGAGCTGCTTAGTGCTTTATATGTGCGCTCTTTCATCATCACCTTCGCGTGGGTCCCTTCGCATTGCTCAATTTTGGGCAATGAGAAGGCGGATTCAGTTGCGAAGGTAGGCGCTATGGAAGGTGACATTTATGATCGACAAATCGCCTATTGATGAATCTACGTTACGGTCGACCAGCTGATGGAAATGATTAGAAAATGAAAATGACGTTTTGCTACCTGTCAAATCGTATGGAATATTTTTTAGTACATCATCACTTTTGTGGTTTTGGATTTCAAACCTAGGTGTCGCATGCACTGGTGCAGTTTCGTGTAGATTTATCAATAGTGAATTTATCTCTATTTATCGTCAGCAGTCACTCGTTAGCTGGCAACATCAATGGAGTGAAGGGAGCTTGGGACGATGGCTATATTCAATTATCCCTAAGGTGTCGAAGTTTGCATGGTTCAAAGGGTTGGACTTGGGTTGAGACTTCATACGCGTGATGTCTCGTCTCATGTCCAATCACTATTGTCTGAACGCTCACTTGTTCCGTGTGGGGTTGGGAGACAGCAATCTCTGTGAATGTGGACAAGGTTACCAGGACGCTGATCACATCCTTTGGTCTTGTGCGGAGTATCGTGGAGTCAGATCACATTTTTATGATTCCCTTCGGGCTCGAGGTAGACAACCTAATGTTCCAGTTCGGGATATTTTGGCTAGACGCGATCTGGAGTTTATGAAACTCATATATGTTTACTTTAAGGATATTAACCTTAGATTGTAAGTTTGATTAACCTTGTTAGTTTGTGTTTTATACGTCTGGGATTTTTTTTCAATGTTTGTTTTCAAGATGAATAGAAATAATTTCATGCTTTAGGATTAATTAAATAGTTGTATCGTAAACCACATTTCAAACCTCCTTCTTCCCTTTTCCCATCCAAAAAATTGTAAATCTCCACTAACCTCGAGACAAACGCGAGTACTCGGTCCAGTTCCTTTAACTTTAAATATAAGACAGTAATAATGTATAACGCAAAGGATAACTCGGCTCTGTAAAGTTTATTCGATTGAGCCTGTACAAATAAAGTAATTATAAAAAAAACATCGAACGAGTTTGTGTAAAAAGGAAAATTTCAAGTAAGTTTCAAGTAAAATGCCGAGTATTAGTACAGGACACTGAAGAAGTCTGCACATTGCAGTCGAAACAAAAACTACGCTTTTATTTATTTCCTTTCAAGTACACGCTTGGTTTGGATTAAGTCAAATTAGCATAAAAAATTACCCAACTTTTCTGACTTTAAATGATCTATATTTCTTGAACTTATGTGGTTTACATGTATAACTTATCAAGTGACAAGATGCGTCTTTTCAACTTTAGTTCTTTTGAAATTTTAATTATTATTAGTTACAGTTCCTAGTCCTATCATTCCTGTTTTAGAGAATGACCACCTTGGTGGGATTGGTTTGTTTTAAATTGAAAAAAAAGGAAACTACTTATAACTAATATTTACAACTACAACTAACCTACAACTACTATGTACGCCTAATCTACTATATACAAATTGCTTATCAAAGCATGTTCTGATATATTACATTTTTGTGCAAATTTAGTCTTAATTTTGTTAATTCTGGAATCTATTTTGGAAATGCCTACATCTTCGTGTAAATTTGTTATTCTAGTGTCGAAAGGACGATCAAGTACCATCCTCAGCACTCTATTCTGAGCAAGTGCACATGATTCACTGTGAGTCTTTGCACATGATTCCCACACCGGAGCTGCGTAGAGGATCGCAGGTGCTATGATTTGTTTGTAGACGGCCAGTTTGTTCACCCTTGAGAGGCGGGATCTGCGGCAAATCAGCGGATACAGACACCTAACCAAGGCAGAACACTTGACTACAGTTTTCTCTACATGCGAACGGAAGAGGAGCTTTTCATCGATCAACATACCTGTCGTGAACTCAGATCGAGGTTGCAAGCCTCGATCTTTTGTCACTGGAACGACGCCAGCCAAACCATCCCGCGTTGATCAGTTACGTCCATCCCCTTTAAAATTAGACACAAGAATGCGAGACGAGCAACTAGCCAGCCTGAATCAGCTCGATGAACCAGTCATCCATCCTTTTGCACTCTTCTATCCCAGAGCATCATAACAATCATTTGTTCTATCTCCCTCGTCTGATGTCTGCTGTCGTCTCGAAGCCGATCTTCGTTTTCTATGACACGAATCACATTTATGTATTCGGAGTTTTCCGAAGCTCATATTCAACTGCTCTCGGCGCGTATGAATCGTCCAGTTATGTCATGTGCAGCGTTGCCAGGTCAGAAAAATCTGGACCAGGTAAAATATAAAATCAGGAAAAATCTGGAATGCTCCAAAAATCCTCTTTTTAACATAATGCTATTGAAATCAAAGTGATGTGTCAATCTCCCGTAAAAATAGGTCAGTATGATAATCTAGAATTTATTTAAAGTTCTAGAATGGTTTAAATTACATGTTTAAATAAATTATATAAAGCAAATACTTTGTAAACATTGCTTCCAAAAGTTGAAAAGTATAAACACGGTGTGCACAAAAAGTTCATACATCCATTACCCAGCATTTCAAAAATTGAGATAAATGTGGGTAAAAAACAGCAGAAAATATGGTTAGAATTGTTTTTTAAACTGTAACTTTTTAAAAAAGAATGAGAAGTAAAGAATCAAGGAAATTTTATGGGATGGATTTTTTGAACTAATAGTCGATGTAGTCCTTACTATTTGACGCAGTACCAGTATTTAAAGATTTTATTAGTTCTAAATAATTCTAATATTACTCTGAGGTTGATCAGATTTACATTTTAATTCTTGACAGCATACAACCCACAACACCCAACAGACCAGTAGGCAATTTTATTTTGAAGCTAAATTCACCGGGCTGAAGTGGGAATCAAAACCTAACATCGTGGAACTCACACACAGTTTACCTAAACTACGGGTAGCTCCACTATTCGCATGACCATTATGCCAAAGAATAATTTTATTATATTACTAAAATGAAAGTCTCATAGTTTCATCACAGACAAACAGACATAACACATTTAATATTTCTCACTGTAAAACATCGTCGCTAAAACATTACCGCCATCTGAGTACACTGTGGTAGGCACTACACTGAACAGATGGCGGTAGTGTGTAAACGTCAAACGCAAGGGAATTGACTATGCGCGCCTCAGGTGGCGGTACTACCAACTACGATACTTTTAAATTAACCGTTAAATGCTTGTTCGATGAACAACTTGCGAGTGTTATGTCTGTTTGTCTGTGGTTTCATTTTTGAAGTCTCAGGATCTTGCAACGATTCTAAATTCCGGAATTTACATTTTTCCTGCGTCCAAGACCATGAAATGTTTTGGTAGTCTGAATTTACTTGGAACTCATTACAGGATATCTTGGCCTTTTTTTTTGTTCAATTTATCATCCTAGAATTCCATCATATTTCTTTTCTATATTCCCCTAAAATAATCTTGAAAATATCTAAAATTTTCCAGTAACATTCTAAGAGTTCTTATCATTACCTCTTGAAATCTCTTATAAATCACTCTTCAATCCCACAACTTCCTCAAATTGGTAATAATTCCCAAGAATTGGCTCAATTTTGTGTCCATTTTTCTTTATGAAATTTTTAAAATATTCTTAACAATTTCCTTGGTACACTCTTCAGAATGACCGTCACACTCTTCTCAGACTTATCCGATAATTCCCTTTAAACTGCTTTGTAGGTAAGGTTAGAATTGGTTTGAAATCCTTTTCAGTATTACCCAAGTACTCAAGTACTTTGCCAAAATGGTTTTGAAAGTCTCCCAGAAATTGCACTTTAATTGTTAGTAAAATTAATCTCCATAGAAACATTGGACAGAATTCCATTGAAATTATTCTCGCGATTCGTATCAGCATACTCCTTAAGTTTGATGATAAGAATTTTCTATGATTTATTTTCCGGATTGAAATTTCCTTTATTGACAAAATCTCCATGCAATTGTCATCAAAGTTGACAAGACAATTGCTACCGTCTTCAACCAGAGGTTGCACAGACTGAATATTTAACATTAAACAACGGAAAACACACCACAACCATTACCATTAGAACAGTAGGCAAATTTTGAGGTTGCCATAATTTGCCCCGGCTGGAGCGTGAATCGAACCCTCACTTCGTGGCACTCACAATACGCCTAAATGATGGGTGACGCCGCACGACCCCGAAGCCCACAAAGATGGATGTAATTCTACTCAGAAGTAGCTTGAAATTCTCCTTTGATTTCACAAAGAATTCGCCTCAC